GCAGGAATGTTTCACTGGTTCAAATTGAGACCGAATTCAGAGGTGTCTCAAGGATGCTCAAAGATTCTGGTGCTGGATTCCCACCAGTATTAGATGATTCAGTATATGTTGAAAGGAGTGTACCTTGGCCTGTGCACCTTGCTGACACTCAGAGCCCAGCTTTCTCTGAACGAGCCTGACACTCCTAATCTAATGGCTGTGTGAAATGAGTTTGCTGGCCTCAGTCCCTAAAGCCCACAACTATTATCGGTGACAGCGACTAAATAAACCTGGAAAGGCAGGCCAGAGCCTGAATCAAAGGGGCCAAGTACTTCATCATGAAGACAACTATAATCACATTTAATACTGTGGGATTTTTAACAGCACTGCACATTGCTCCAATGCCTTCAACAAGAGCAGATAGGCTATCACCGAGCACTTCTGAAAATCCCATCCATATCAAATGAAGCAATGAAACATCTGATGTCTTAACCAACATACAGTGGTTTTGTTACCTACATAAAAGCACCCCAGATACTATATAGTGATGGGTTTGTTGTTATACTAGATATGATGTAGTGATTGCTGATCTCAGTAAACTTCCTTACAGTTTGCCATGAGTCACTTATGCACTTATGGATCACTCCTGTATGTTCCTATCCTGTTCAGTCTGTTATGCACAGTTCTCATAGCAATATAATATTTTTTTGTTAAAAAAATGACAGCCCTAACCAAACCTGTTAAACTCATATCAACTTTAGTGCAGACACAGTTACTTTTCTCATCTATGGGAATAAGCTACAGTAGTAAAGCACTTTTATCACGATATGTACTCAGGGCAGGAGAGTCTTTATTGCTTTCACTCTACCAATAAAAGTAAAGCAGTACACTTCCTAAAAGTCAAGTCCTCCGACTACCCACCACTGCCAGCACATGTGACAGAGGGAGGTTTCCAAAATATGATGAAAAGGTGAATTTCTCTTTTCCTCCACTAGACTCAATCTATGTTATTGATACGGCCTCCAGTACTGCAGGATCTGAACATGTCACCACCTTTGAGATAGGGAACGGGTATACCCCATTTTTGCAGATGGGAATCCAAGGCACAGAGAAGATAAAGTGACGTGACCAAGTCCGGCAAAGGTCTATGGCAGAGCAAACAGATGAAGCTAGGTCTCTGGCCGTGGCCATAGCTATCCGGCCCTCCTTTCCCTCAGATCCCAGGCTCAGTCTATACTACAAAGTTTTGCCTATAAATTAGCAGTAGGTTACCATCCTTGCACGCACCTATTCTCAATTTTGAGTACTGCCAGCAAAACCCTGATTTTCCACCAGTCACATTAAACTGCCTCCCCAAGCATAGCTGTAGCAGAACAACCAGTCATCTAGCTACAATACCACAAAGCTCATAGGCAAGGACTACTCCTTTCACGATAATGACCTTTGCTGCTCTGTCCTCCCTTTAAAATTTCAAGTGTGTTTTAAAAATGCTTCCACCTTGCCAGCCCATTTTTGTGAGCATACCGTCACCACCTTAGCACACAGGTCCATGTCATCTGCAGACTGGTCTCAGAAAGAAGCTCTCCTAGATATCCTCAGCCTAGGGAGAGAAGGGAGCAATGCAAGTCAACTTTGGAATTGCCGCAGAAATAAAGATGTTCAGATGTTGCAAAGGAGAAGCAAAACCTGGGGCATGAACATCTGGACAAAGGGGAAAATAGCCTCTGATGCTGCCACTCAGGTCTCCTGGTCCTACGCAGAGCCGGGTGTCATAGTGAGCGGAGCCCCATAATGCGCACAGGAAGGAATCCCAGAAATGCACAGCGATGATGAGCTCACAAAGGAGCGGGAGGCAGGGAATCCAAGACCCCACGCACAGCCAGAAGCTCTCGTGGCCTAGCTGAACATGACCCAGTCAAGCCCAAAGATGAAGAGAAAGAAAACAGAGCTCAAGACTCTCTTTAAAAACTTTTTTTCATGGCTCTTGAAACTCCTTCCCCTCCAGACCACTGTTTGCCCCTCTCAAAATAGTGGCAGCTGGATGTGTCCGGTCAGGAAACAGCCCTGCTTTCTGAAGTAGCTGGTTTATTTTAAAATCATGCACTTGTCATAAAAAAAGAAAAGAGAATACACAATGAAAGAACTCCTTACACCACAGAACAATCTTTCCAAAATAAATGCTTTTAGCAAGTAGCTAAAAGTTTCCACCAACATAAAAGGGTGAGCAGAAAAGAAAATAGAAATCAATACCTGATCGTGCAAAGAATCGTACAGAACAGACCAGCAGAATCCGCAGTTCCCCAAAGAGAAGTCGGGCATCAACCAATACGCTGCAAATTGTTCTCACAAGGTAATGTGCCGGATCATAACAAAAGGCACATCTAGATGCCCCCCGCAGTACCATAAATCCTGCTCTAAGGCAAGGTTTCACTGAAGATGTGTTGCAAAGACAGCCAGGCGTGGATACTATAGTGAAGCTACAACGCTGGCAGCTGTAGGCTGGCAGAAATGCTACTGGCAAAACTTTCTAGTTACGCATGATGTGTCCCGGGCAACCGTGCTACAGTCGTTGGCATTATCCTACATTGACAGCAGTGTCAACAAAGCACAGAAGCTAAACCTACTAGGAAACAGGATAACTGTCAACTAGAAGATGACCTCCTGAAGTCCCTTCCAGCTTTTCTTTCCATTGATTTTATGACATCCCCACAAGTCCCCATCCCCCCCGTAGTGGTCTACTTGCCTTCTATTTGTCCATCATCTACTTGCCTTCATAACTGCTACTCCTGCTGTTTTCAGGCTTCAGCTGGGGACTGGTAGGAGAAGGAAGGAGGCCTGCTTTTCTCTCCTTTTTGGTTATGAGTCTGTTTTCCTCTTAGAAATCCTGTCATCTGGGATCATGGGCCAACCAAAATCCCAGTCCAGGCAAGGAGCATTTCAATATAAAAATCTTCAGTACTCCAGCTGCTCAGCCTGACTTTCATGAGGCTAGAAGACAAAAAAACCCCCAGCCTTCAAACTCTGCTGCCTTGTCTCGTGACGCTTTGCTGCAGCTGCCTCTGGGGTAAGTTCTCAGGCAATCAACTTTCACGCTTTTCAATTTAGTTGCTGTTGGGCTGAGACCTGGGCCTATCACACCACCAGTGTCATCTCACTGGTTCCCCACATCTTCCTACCTGATGGCTGTATCCACCTGCTGTCATGCACTTGGACTGTAAAAGGTTTGGGGCAGAGACTACCTTTTTACTCTGCCTCTGTTCAGTGCTCAGCCCCATTCTTGGCAAAGGCTCCTGAGTGCTCAAATAAAACAAAGAATAACGTTATACTTCAAAGAAAGCTACTGCTACCTTTCTAATTGGAGCATGGGCTACAAGCGACCGTGTGGAACAAGAGGAACATTTTAGCCAAGAGATGACCTGAGGAAGAGG